CAACATCAACATCAACATCAACATCAACATCAACATCAACATCAACAACAACAACTACCACAACAACTACTGAAACAACAACAACTACATCAACAACTACGACAACAACAACAACTACTGAAACAACTACCACTACAGACACGACTACTACAACGACCACAACTACTACAACATCATCAACAACTACAACAACCACAACGACCACAACTACTACAACATCATCAACAACTACAACAACCACAACTACTACAACAACGTCATCAACAACTACAACAACGACAACTACTACAACAACATCAACTACAACATCATCAACAACTACAACTACTACAACAACATCATCAACAACAACTACATCAACAACAACATCAACCACTTCATCAACATCATCCACAACGTCAACAACAACACCCGGTCAGTAATATGCTAGATAATGTGTTGTACTTTTTCGCAGTTTTCAAACCGACGATTTTATTTACTAACCAGATTTAAAAGTTTGAGGGTTTATCTTTCAAAAATCTACCATGTCAATGAACAAATAACACATCTTCGGAGATTCGCTCAGTTGTCTCTTTTAGAAGCATTATTTCTAAACGTAACAAACTGTAGTCTTCACGGTGATGGTTGAGACCTCTGCTGCGAGAGCCGATACTAAAAAATTGCCGTTGATTCAGACGTATCATTAACGATTACTTTTTTTAGAAAAAAACTGTCAATAGTAAAAAAGCACTATAGTACAGTAGCATAACAAGGATTTTGTCAGCAAGAACTAAACCTCACTGTTGGTGCTTTTCCTTTGATCAGTCCTCGCCTGCTCGTGTTTAGTCTCGTCCACCTGTGTCCTTCATTTTTTCTCTCATAGTGGTTTTTGATCAAACAGTAGAGGTCTGCACGGAGTCAATATCGGAGTTTATTGGATGTTGTGCTAATAAACCAGACTAAGAACTAGGCGTTTTACTGATTGTGATATGTGTTCTTCGATATTTACTCTACTAACTGGCGTATCTCTCAAATTCAGTTGTTGTTTCCTGGAAACTATGAACTTGAAAAAAGGCACAGTTAACACTGCTGGAGACTTGTTTTGTATGTATAAAGTCTCGAGAGAACAGTAATTGAATTTGAGAAGTACATCCATTTGTAGAGTAAGTATTGGAGAACACAACTCACAATAAATAAAATGTTTAATGCTTAGTTTGGTTCAATGACAGAATATCCAGTATAACCGATTTCCTTTGTCTTATTTTGCTATTGTGGGTTTTAAACTGGTTAGCGAGTTTCCAGAAAACCTAAGCCTAAAACCAAAGACCTTTTTTTTTGCTTATCAATTCCGGTTCTTTAGCAGTTAACAGTAGTGTCATACTCCGAAGTTGAATTCAAGTATTCAACTATTCGCTACGGGGGGGGGGGGGGGGGGCGAAGCCGAAGTCCTTACATGTCGAGACCGACTATTCTTAAAAAAAATCTGTTCCAAAACTCAGAGTAACGACCAAAAAAAAAGCTGTACTCCACTTCAGGATTGGCCCTGGTCTCTAGCAAACCGGATTTGATAATTTTTTTAGGAGGGTTTAGCCTCCTCTGGCTTCGTCACTGCCTACCCTAGCAACACCCACGCCCACATACGTCACGCACTGTGTACACATAGACGCCCTTAGGTCGCGGCTCTTTGGGGAGCGCCTCGCGCCCCTACGCCGCGACGCTGATATAAAAGATGTGTTTTCCGAGGGTATTAGTTGTCCGCCTGTATCAGCCAAATCACAGGAATTTCTTAAGGGTATGTGCTCTCTATCGATCACCCATTCTCTAAAATATTTGAATATTTTTCAGCTATAATATTCCAATATTTGAATAATCGAATATTTGAATATTTTTCGACTAAAATATCCGAAAATCTGAATATTTGAATTCAAATTTCTAGTATTATACTTATGAGAATATCTAGTAGACTCTGATGTAATTCCGCCTTTAACTCCGTGGAGACCTATGCTCAACACTGAAAAACAGACCCGCAATAACGTAAACAGATAATTGGTTTTTGTTGAGCTGTTCTCGACAAGAACGAGAATAAAGTGTGAGTGCACAGATAACTGTAAAATACTTGAAAAGTTGAATTTAGGATTTTGTAGACCTATGATTGATTTATGTAGAACAGAATTATCTTAGTGTTTATAGAAATCCATGTTACGATGCAACTTTTAAAAAAAGAATGATATATATATGCTGAAATGAAATTCTGGACAAATGTATAGAATTCTGAATTTTGCTTGGAAAGCATTCTGCGTCCTCTCAGTCGAAGGTATCATGAAACTTTATTAAAAGGAGCGCAAGTTTTGAGTAGAGTGAGATGAGTTTGTTGGTTTTTCAAATTTACGAGAAGGTTTTACATCGAGATGAACAGAATGGCTGAAAACTGACTATAGTTGTACTGTAGAATATCTGAAGTTGCCCAAAATTCAGTGACATGATCTTTTCGAATAAGTTATGCTTAATTAAGTTCAACTCTCAAAGATTGAATAAAATACGACGATTGAATACTGTCTATATACTAGTACAGATGTGAGAACAAAATTTTTTGTATTTAATAGACTGCAGTACGTTTCTTAATCAAACTACTTACCCAGTTGGTACTAGTCCATACTCAGTAGCAGTCGTCGATGTGAATAGCGACAGTAAACCCGATATTGTTGTTGCAAACTATGTTTCGAACACCGTCGGTGTCCTTCTCAACAATGGCACCGGTACCTTTAAAACTCAAACTAATTACATAGTTGGTACTGGTCCATACTCAGTAGCAGTCGTCGATATGAATAGCGACAGCAAACCCGATATTGTTGTTGCAAACTATGGTTCAAGCACCGTTAGTGTTCTTCTCAACGCAGGCAATGGCACCTTTAGTGCTCAAACTGGTTACACAGTTGGTACTGGTCCATACTCAGTAGCAGTCGTCGATGTGAATAGCGACAGTAAACCCGATATTGTTGTTGGAAACTATGATTCGAACACCGTCGGCGTTCTTCTCAACGCAGGCAATGGTACCTTTAGTGCTCAAACTACTTACACAGTTGGTACTCACCCATTTTCAGTAGCAGTCGCCGATGTGAATAGCGACAATAAATCCGATATTGTTGTTGCAAACTATGGTTCGAACACCGTCGGGGTTCTTATCAACGCAGGCAACGGCACCTTTAATACTCAAACTACTTACGCAGTTGGTACTAACCCAATTTCAGTAGCAGTCGCCGATGAGAATAGCGACAATAAACCCGATATTGTTGTTGCAAACTATGTTTCGAACACCGTCGGCGTTCTTCTCAACGCAGGTAATGGTACCTTTATTGCTCAAACTACTTATGCAGTTGGTAGTTACCCTCAAGCAGTATCAGTCGTTGATGTGAATAGCGACAATAAACCCGATATCATTGTTGCAAACAAGGGTTCTGACAACGTCGGTGTTCTTCTCAACGCAGGCAATGGCACATTTAATGTTCAAACTACTTACTCAGTTGGCACTGCCCCTCTAGCAGTATCAGTCGTTGATGTGAATAGCGACAATAAACCCGATATTGTTGTTGCAAACCAGGCTTCGAACACCGTCAGTGTTCTCTTGCATTGTTAAAACTGATCGATTACTAACCTTTATTTACTCATTAATATTTTATTACTCTATCAAGTATATTACTCTTATAAAACATTGCACGATTTAAACTAACATTTATCTTCACTCTATATTAAGAATTTTAACAAATCTTTGCGACCAAGGTCGCCACCTCTTCTGCTTTTTTTCTGTCATTTCTGCTTTTTCAATTTTCTTCTGCTTTTTAAAATATTATCTGCTTTTCATTTTTAACTCAATTTCAGTTCTAATAAATCATTATCGCATACATATCCGATGAATTCTTACTGATGTATAGTGGAAATTAATAAGATGACGGTCCTGGATTTCCAATAGTTAATAAAAACGACCAATATAAACGCCACTTGCTAAGACCGTTCTTTACCGATATCTTTCTTTCTGAAGTATTCTCTACCAATCACCCAAATCTTTCAATTCATTGTACACAATTTTCTATCTATTGTTCGTTGTTGGTTAAGAATATAATAAGCTGTAACATTTGTACGTAGCAGAAATGAATGATTGATGCTAGTGATAGTCATATTAATCAAGATGAAGATAGTGAAGCATCAGTAACACTCTAGTCACAAATATTATCTAGTGATAAATCGAAAAAAAAGAAATTGAAAAAAGGAATATTTAACAGCGAATGCTTAAAGATTATCGGATATGAATTATTTTTGAAAGGATACAAACCTAATGCAATTCGGGCCACTTGCATTGCTTACAATCAACAATTTTCAGTACACTATCAAGGAAAAGCTGATATTGATCATCATATAAAAACTCAAAAGCATCAAAATAAATAGTTACAAAAACGATGAAACTATCGAAAGAAAAAGATGAAATTTCTGCTGCTGAAGCTGTTCTCGTTTATCATGATGTAAAGCATGGTATTCATATTTATCTCAACAATGCATAGTTAATATTTGTAAAAGAATATTCTCGTTCTCTACAACACCAACTCGTTTATCGTGAGCTCGAACGAAATCAACATTTATTGCCCTAAATGTTTTAGCACCATGTTTTACATACAATTTGATTGATGATTTGAAAAGCGCATTTCATTATTTGTTGATGTATGATGCCAGTAACAAAAGTATATATTAAAATATTTCCATTTTGTGTTCAGTTCTTATTCACATATGGTGTCAGAAAAGATATCGTTCTTCTGAATTTAATTTACTGTTGTAGCAATCTTGTTGTATTATTTTAAGCCTTTTTGAATTGATAATGGACGCAGATGAAACAGCAGATAAAGTCTTTGTTAATGCTCGACAGTGAGGGCTGGCCACGGACTAATCTTTTGGAACCTTTACCATAGTTAAGGAACTATTGGAACTTTCAAATAGCACTCACTTAACAATACACCACGATATAATACTTTACGATTCTATATCAACTTATCTAAGAAGTCAATACACTATCATCACAACTAACTAAGATACTAACAATATTATATCAATCGCTTCATACAAAATAACTTCCCTGGCGGATCTATTATTTCAAAAGGGTGTGGGTAATAATAAGAATATCACCCACACCCACACCCACACCCTCAAGATGCTTTTTATTACAAAGAGAAATTTTTTAATGACAGTTACCGTGTGTATAAGAATGCTGATCATTCCCTTTTTTAGTCACTCAATGATCCCAGTTTGAACGACCAGATGTTTTTTTGCATGGATCATTGTCTTGTTTTACTTGAGTTCACTTGGAGAAATCTCTGACTTGTACACCATCACATTCGAGGAAGATAAAACTGGGGAGTTTTATTTTCAGAAGATCTCACATTGTTGGTTAGTCACTGACATACACAATGTACGTGTGAATAAGTGTGAGAGATGATTAACACCACATTCACTCACATATATTTATTTTCTCTCTAGTTACAATATTTTATATTATTTCCACAGAATGAATATTTATTGTATAACATTGAATTCGTTATAAATCAAATAAGGGTGTGGGTGTGATAATTTGAATCAACCTTCTAGATCCTCAAGAGAACGTGTCTAAAACTAAAGAAGATAAAGATGTGATGAAGACTTTTTCTGTCGCTTTCATTTATTTCTTTTCAACGTTTGTTAATAATAAATGCATTTTTTTTCAAGTTTATCTTTGTTATCTACGTAATGGTTACATACAGGCTTCCAGTGAACAGAACACAACATGAAAAATGATAAAAGTTAGTTTAAATATTTTTTTAAAATTTTATGTCTGCTAATTCATGACGACGAATTATGTTATCAATATGTGTAGTTCAGTCACTATTTATGAATATAAATACTTTTTTTTTCACTTGCAATTCTCCAATTACAAACATAATTTCACGAGTTTCTTCTCCATCAAAGAAAATAAAACATCTATTATGAGTGAAGTATCTCGATGTTTGTCAGAGATATAACAATATCTCACCAGTTTACTTTTTTCGTCCTTCATTTCTTGTCTTGCATAGCAATAAGATAAACAGTTAAAGATAAAACATTTCGAAAGGAGGTAGACATCTATAAAAAGAATCAGTTTTGTTCATTACATCACTATTGAATTTTATACAATAACTCTAATTCAAACCATTCAAAAAGCAAGCAATGAACAAAGATAAACAACAACAATCACTTCCCCCCAATCATCCTGATGTGGTTACTTCCTACAAAAATATTGGTAATGAACATTACAACACAGGTGATTATCCGAAAGCATTTACATCTTATGAAAAAGTCCTTGAAATACAACAACAATTATTATCTCCCGATCATCCTGATTTGGCTATTTCCTACAGCAACATTGGCACTGTGTATATCAAGATGGGTAATTATCCAAAAGCACTTTCATCTTATGAAAAAGCCTTTGAAATTCAACAACAAGCACTTCCATCCAATCATCCTTATTTAGCTACTTCCTGCAACAATATTGGTGAAGTGCATAGAAACCTAGGTAATTATCCACAAGCACTTACATTTCACGAAAAAGCTCTTGAAATTCAACAACAATCACTTCCTCCGAATCATCCTTATTTGGCTCAGTCCTACAACAACATTGGTTTAGTACATCACAAGATGGGTAATTATTTAGAAGCACTTTCTTATTATGAGAAAACTCTTGAAATTCAACAACAATCACTTTCTGACAATCATCCTGATTTAGCTATGTCCTACATCTCTATTGGTTTAGTGTATAAAAACATAGGTAATTATCCAGAAGCACTTTCTTATTATGAAAAAACTCTTGAAATTCAACAACTATTACTTCCTCCCGATCATCCTGATTTAGCTACTTCCTACAATAACATTGGTAATGTGCATACTAAAACGGGTAATTATCTGAAAGCACTTTTATATCTCGAAAAAACTCTTGAAATTCAACAACTGTTACTTCCTCACAATCATCCTGATTTGGCGTCTTGCTACATCTCCATTGGTGTAGCGCATTCCAGTACGGGCGATTATCCGAAAGCATTTTCTTATTATGAAAAAGCTCTCGAGATTCAACAACAATCACTTCCTCTCAATCATCCTGATTTGACTATGTCCTACGGTAATATTGGTAATGTGCATACTAAAATGCGTAATTACTCAAAAGCACTTTCATCTTATGAAAAAGTCCTTAAAATTCAACAACAATCACTTCCTTCCAATCATCCTCATTTAGCTATTTCCTACAATAATATTGGTATTGTGCATTACCGTATGGGTGATTACTCAAAAGCCCGTACAAGTATTGAACATGCTATACAAATTGGACAACAATCATTACCTTCGAATCACCCAGATCTTCAACAGTGGAGAAATAACCTTGAACGTGTAAAAAATAAATCATAATTTGTATTGCTATGAGTTTTATTTTATGAAAGAGAAAAAATAAATTTTCTTTCTCGTAGAAAGAGTTCACTAAACATAAATTGTCTGTTTGCTTGCTTGATTGCGTCTGCAAGGTCAAAAAAACATCGAAGACCGATTTTCAGGAAAAAGACATTTCTTGAGGTATTTGAATGCTGAGACTTTGTTTGTTACAACGATAATCGACGATTCTGGTGTTATACTTATTTTTTTAACTTATAGAGAATATTCTGCAATTTTATGTTAGAAACGTAAATATATCCGCGAAGACCTTTCATACATGCATATATTATGTATGCGTATTGTCTTGTCGATAGGCTATGACCATTGCGTTTTCATTACTTACAGAGATATTCTCTGTACACGCGCGTGAGTAAGTAAAATAATACAGTTATTAATCTCTTGGATAAAGAAAACATTCATTTATTTATTCAGAAAAAAAATTATAATCTCTTTTTTACAATTTCAATCAACTGTTTCACAGCTTTAAGTTCAGGATGATCTGATGGCAATGAAATTTTGTGAATGACCAGACCACGTTCATAATATGAGAGTGCTTTCGTATATTCTTTCATGTTATAACATAGTATACCAATGTTGGTGTAAAAAGTAGCCAAGTCAGGATGATTTATAGGAAGAGTTTTTTCTTCGATTTCAAGTGCTTTTTCGTAAGATGAAAGTGCTTTGGTGTATTCTCCTAGCTCATTATACAACAAACCAATGTTGTTGTAAGCAATAGCTAAATCA